TCCATTGCTGGTCCACCATATTTGACCAGGTACATTGAGTTTACATATAAGTGATGGAGTACTACCAGCCTCAATACCTTCTAAGTCTTGAGACGCTGTAATTTCTAACACTGCTGGATTCTCATTTTTTGACTCAGTGGTTTCTATTTTTTCAACAGCTGCACAGGGATATATAAAGATATAAGTATGTTTCTATTGTATATCTAATATTAATCTAATATATATGTGAAATATAAATATGAAAATATGTGAAATTAACATGATATTTTTGCTAACTTAAACATAATAGTAATAAACAAAGGTAAATTGACATGCTAACTAATAACATTCATATTATTTGAAAAACTGCAATTGTGTCTAATTAAAGAACTTTTAGTAAAGTAGTATATGAACGAACCAAGTAATTGGCTAATTAATTCATTAAAATCATAATAGCGGAGTCATACAAACAGACCAAGTTTTGTCTTAATAGCTCAAATTATCAAAGATCCGAAGTATATCTTACTAAAACTTTTGTTACGATGTTTTATGAGCCTTGAGATTAAATAATATATTCTACTAAACTTTCTGATATACACAAACATAGAAAATGTAAATATTGAGCGTAAAATTTTAATAAAATAAGAATAAGTTATCAATTGATCAAAACTATTCCTGATTTATGTTTGTTGTTTTGTAAATAAGCAATTAGGATGTTTTTATTTTGTACATGATAATGACTATGATTATGTAAACTGTTTATTTCATAATCTGGAATAACATGAATTTCAAATAATGTTATCTTATATTGCGTTCTCATCTTTTTTGTGCTAAGTGTAAGACTGTGTAAGTGTATGTGCATATATATATGTCGCGCATGTTCTTCATTTTATGAATTCAACGGTTATTATCGATATGGCATCAGTAACTCAATAATGGCGTTTTCTCATGTTAAGTGTCTTTAGATTATATTCCATATTACGCGATTAGATTACGTATATTATGCGACGAAATATAATCGTTGTATTGAAAACAAACAAATAAAACAAAATGTTTTTAATTTTTATTTAAATCAAAGTTAAATGTTAGTTAAATGTAAGGTTAAACTATAGTTGAATGTTCAAAGTGTTTAACCTATAATTACCCTTCCGATTATGTATGAAATAACATCTTACATGGTTTTTGATTTTTTGCAGCATCACTTGTTTCGATTTTTATAAAATCGTTTTCATACCAAATCGAAGTTATTCTCCGCGAAAAATGTAACTTGATATTATACGCGGTGAAACAAGTATACGAACTAGAAGCGCATGTTATGTATAAACTATAAACACAACAGTATCATTTAGGTATTTAATATACCACATTGAAACGGCTTGTCAATTAGGAAATAATTGCAGGAAAGAATTTCCACAGCATATATTTGAACAAGATAGAAGGTTTGATAGCTATTTTGTAAGTAATATTTCTTTTATTACTTAATAAGCGAATTGTTTATTACTAGAATTATTGATGATTAAAATATAAAGCTTGTACCAAAGAAATCAAAATGAGAATTATATGAAGAAATATATAATGCAAGAGAAGGAACAAGTCTCTATCCAAATATTTTTCAAAAAATCACTAAAATCTCAAAAGATAAATAGTCATAAATTTATCAAATTTCTATGAAAAATTACGTACAGTGTTGGTCGTTTTGATCATTCTGGTAATTCCATTAATAAATACATTTACTCTTGAATATGATAATTTAAGATCTATAATCACGATTGCGATTTGCGCATATGTAATCATTTTACGACTTCAATTCCGTGCTATTAAAATATTTTTATTTACTCCAATAGTATATATGTAACATGTAACAAGGTGGTTAAATGAAATAGGAATCGATCGAGCGATAACATACCGCTGATTATACCGTAAGTAAATTTCAATTGTAGCATAAACATTTTAATATACAAATTAAATAAATAAATTAATATCCTTTAATTTTAATTCTAATTTATAAAAAAAAAGAATAGAATGCAAATAAATTATATGTCTTTATTAATAAATTCATATTTTTTAATGTATAAATCTTTCAAAGCTGAACACATTCAATTCTACAATTTCGAAGTATGCGTGTACACAATATTTTATGTATTTTCACAAGTATTATGCATCTTTCAGTAATCAATGTATCACGAGAATTGAATCTTCCAGCATAAACACGGCTCACATAACAGAAAAGATAAAAGGCAAGAGTGTATCGAATGATAAATAATTGAAACGATCAAGATACGCCAATGACATTCGATATCTTTTTATGTTGTTAATCAATCGTGCATGACGGTATGCAATTTTATGCACGCCTGTACAACCAACAATTCATTTAACATGGCTTAAAATCATTGCCATGATATTTGTTCAGGGTACAAATATTAAAAACTATTTGTTACGAAGGATAACAATCGTGAGGATTACGATGACAGCGGTGCATCATGCATCCGCTAAATAGTAGATACACTGCTCATAAATGTTCGTCATTGTATCCTCTCGTGGACGATCGACGAGAATAGCGGAAGAAGCTGTCGTCGCGTTGAAATCGTTCGCGAGTCAGTTTGTTAAATAATTTCTACAACTTACCAGATTCGTCAAGGCCGGCAACGGTAAGTACGAAAAAGCAGAGTATCATCAAAGGGATACTCGACATCGGTAGGCCACTTCGGGGAAACATGGCGTCGTGACAACCGGGCGTGAGCGTTGTATCCCTGGCCCTTTTCCCACTTCCTGCCACCTTCTTATACGTTCTCGATTCCTTTCACAATCCCATGACGCGAGGTTAGTATCGCCTGTCCATTTGAATCACAATCCAATTCACTATTTCATATCACGCTTCGCACTTACGTGCGACGCACTTTTCGAGAGAGAGATGTTCAGACACACTTTGCAAATCTCACCCCGTAATAGCGCTGGCGAAACTGAATCACATTATACGAATGTAATGTAGGTGTCCCGACGAACATCACGCCGCCAAATGCGAGCGATTGACACTGCCCTCCGTCGGGATTCTGCTCCACGTTCCAGGCTTACACGTCGATAACGAAGTTGATTCTTCCAAGAGCGGGAAATTGCATCGAATATAACTTATTGTACTAAGTACTTACATATTGTTCCGCTCTTCTTTTATTGTTATCAGCGAAATATAGTTTTGTATTATTAATTACAAAAGTGAGAATTGAGTTTTTAATGTACTATTCAGAGATGAAATTTTAGAATATCAGTAAAATGCATACATAAATACAAATACGCGAGTGAATAATAAGCACTTTTATATGTTACAAGTATTTATATATGTAGAATTAATGTATTCTAACTTTTTCATGGACATTAAAAATTTATTTCTTATATGTGCATAATGTATACATAATCCTGAAGGAATTTTATTTAATTTAGTTGCTTTATATACTGCAAAAAATACATTAAATACACTTTATTATCGGTGAGGTATGAATCATTATTTCTATATCGTGTCGTCTAGGGGGCTCCTGCTATGTATAACTGGCAACTGGTATTAACATGCACATATTCTTGCCTTTGTAAAATGTTCTTCAATCTATTTAGTTTTCTTACTTTTCTTCTTTCTTCCGCGTAAATTTCGGTGTAGCGACAAGTGGTATGGCTGAGTTGATTTTAGATCCAAACATTCGAGGATGGGTGTTCTTACCTATCGTTGTGATTACGTTTCTCGTAGGCATTATTCGACATTATGTTTCGATATTACTTGCCTCACAGAAAAAGGTTGAGCTTCATCAAGTACAAGACAGGTGATTACGTGAATCTATAAATTGTATATGTGAATATATAAATATAGTGTATTTCCAGCCTGTCGGAACATTTCATTATTATATACTTTGATGTTTTCTAGTCAAGTGATGATACGCTCTAGGCTGCTAAGAGAAAATGGTCAATATATTCCAAAAATGGCATTTATTAGCAGAAGGCATTTCTTTAATAATGAAGAGACAGGATATTTTAAAACACAAAAACGTGCCCCAGTATCGCAGAACCCAATGACAGATCCTAATATGATGACAGATATGTTAAAGGGAAATGTAACTAATGTTTTACCAATGGTATTAATAGGTGGCTGGATTAACTGGATGTTTTCTGGCTTTGTAACAAGTACGTTCAAAGGGTTATATGTATGATCTAGAGCATAAATTCAGTCTTCTCAAATTAACAGCAATAATTATATTTTAGCTAAAGTACCATTTCCTTTGACATTACGTTTCAAACCAATGTTGCAACGTGGTATAGAATTAGCTACACTTGATGCTGCATGGGTTTCATCTGCATCTTGGTATTTCCTTAATGTGTTTGGATTACGTTCCATTTATACACTTGTCCTTGGAGAAAGCAATGCTGCTGATACCTCCAGACTTTTACAGGATCAAGTATCAGGTGCTGCAATGTCTATGCCACCAGATCCAAAAGCTGCTTTCAAATCAGAATGGGAAGCATTGGAAATATATGAACATAATTGGGCGCTGCAAGGAGTTGAAGCAGATCTTATAGGATCCCAAAGAATAGATACAAGTGAAGGTATGTGGATATGACTAATGATAAATTTTATATTAGCCTCTTATTTTAATAATACTTTGTATCTTATAGGTAGCAAATAATAAATATTACATCTATATCCATAGATATAGCATGTGCCATTTTTGGATAAATAATTGAAGTTTTAATAAAATTACTAAATGAATTAATAACTTGAATTATCATAATAAATGATGTATAATTTATTGCATTCTTTATAACATTCTACAAAATATTATTTTATATTTTATTAGAATATCTGCATTACAATTTCTTAGTAATTTGTTATACTTTCAGTTTCATATGTACAAAAATTGTCCACAATTACAATTGTAGCAATATATTTTCACCTACTTTACATCTTTACGGTACAAATATTTATAAGTTAATATTTATAAGTTATATTAGACAGTATGTACAATACAGTTCATCATAATAAATGTTTGTTTTATATATGTATATTAAGAGAATATAATGTTTATTACATTTCAATCCCTAGTTACTTTACATAAAATATCGGGCTTAGCACGAGCATTTGCTCTTTTCCTTTCTTTTTGCTAATTATGTAGATATATACGCATATATACATCATTTAAATTAAAGATTACAGGGTTCTATTTTAGGATATATATCTGTTCGACGATGATTTTCGCACGGCATATTTTGCCGAATTTGTTTTAATAAGTTTAAATCAATTTCTGCTAAAACCATATCAGTTTTTTCACTACACTGCGCTACTATAGTTCCCCATGGATCAATAATCTGACAAAATTTTATACATATAGCATCATATTTAATGTAATAAAACTAGCATAAACTATAAAATTATTTACCATTGCATGACCCCAACTCACTCTCTTTTTGTTATGTGTACCAGTTTGAGCTGCAGCTATAACATAACATTGTGTTTCTATAGCCCTTGCACGCAATAATACCTCCCAATGAGCAGCACCTGTTTGATATGTAAATGCTGATGGATATGTGAGAATTTCCGCTCCCATATTTCTTAATGAAAGAGATAATTCGGGAAAACGCATATCATAACACTAATATTACTGTTAAGTAAATACAATTTCTTAGACTTGAAGAACAAGATTATAAAATTTAAAAAGGATACAATACTGAGACCTAATTTACCAGCTGGTGTTGATATAGGTGGTTCAATCTTTTGCCCTGCTAAGACATAATCTGATTCCATCAATCTCACGCCAGTAATTTTATTGTTCATATCAAATAAATGGATTTTACGATAAATACTGGCTATTTCCCCTTCACTGTTTATTACAACATGTGTATTACTTATACGATTTTTATCGTCATTTAACTATAGATATGTAATTAGAATATATGGATTAATAAAAAACAATTGTAATATTTTTTTTTGTGAAGAAATAAAAAGAAATTTAAGCTTACTGCTTCATGTAATCCACCTAACGATAACCAAATTTTATTTGCTTTAGCAATTTCTTTGTAGCTTGATATTATTGATCTATTCAAAGGTTGAGCCATGGCTATTATATCTTTTTTATTATCGGCTAAATAATCACAGGCTTCAGGAAAGAAAGCAATCTATCAAAGTATTGTAAAAATTTATATAAATATAAATAATATTAAAAAAATGAAATTAGAGTTTTATTGTATGTGCTTACACAAGCTGTCCTAGATTTAGCCCTCTCAGCTAGTTCTCGTACAGTTTGTAAATTTTTTCCTTTATCATTTGTTGATGTCATTTGACATACTGCAACTAATGGGTGTGCCATAGTACTAAATTTAGCGATAAGATGTCCTAAAAACTGTTTTCTAAAAGATCAAGTTATAAGATGATTAAAAATAAGTGATAAGAAAGTTCTTTGTGTTTTATGTTTGGATCAATATAAAATTTTTTATAGACAAAGTTAAGTTACATTTACTACAAGTAACTTACTAGATACACTTATACATTTTCTTATTACATTTTCTTTCCAATTATTACCTGTGATATTTAATAATAGAAAAACTGCTTAGAAAATGCATGCTCATCGCTTATTTACGTTACACGTATATAGGAACATTTGATAATACAGAAATATCAATGTTGAAATGGGATACATTAATAGATATATACTAATAAATATATATTTTATAATGACGTTTTGTTTAAAGAAGAAAATAATTTCTATAAATCGTAAAGTATGCCTATATAAGAATTATACATATATAATAAGTTTTTACAAATTTATAAAATAAATTATCAAAATTTTATAGGTTAACGAAAAGTAAGTATTCAATGTCGCGCACTCGAATTGTGCTCGCGCAGTCATGAGCCATCTACCGGCTACTGCAGACCCTCTGAAACAAAGTTTCAATCAGTTTGAATTCTGTGACTGCTGTGTTATGTTTAACTTGTAATCGCGTTAATACATAAAAAAAAAGTTTTGCTGCATGTTTATACCGTTGGTGTTTGATATTTATGCTTCATGCCAATAGAGTGCGATATAAAAGTAACAATAATAGTGGTAAAGTACTTTTATGAATATGATAAAAATCGTCCTCGAAATCAATGGATTGTGGAATGTGTAGTAATCGTGAATTTGTAATGAAATAAACTTCTATCGGTGAGTCAACTTTATTTTTTTATGCCATCGTTCATATAATTTTTAAAATTATTAGCTCCATATATATACTGATAAGATCCTTTATCAACAAAAAGGTATTAATAGTGCAATTGAGTTTTCGAAGGTTACGGATTATTGTATATTCAACAAATGTCTAATATTCTAATTTCCCTAATGATGTATCATAAACTTAAATTCACGTGACTACAATTACAATTTTAGTGAAGATTGTGCTGATTATTAAGGTAACCTATTTTTGTTAAACTCTTTTTATATTATGCCGATTTTTATGTTAAATTTCTTTCGAATGGCTGGATGTTCTGCTTTTTATGGAGGATGGTGCTTGTATTTTGTCACTCACCTTTATATGTTGCTGAATTGTTTAAAATTCCCGCTTCGTGATGTGCTCCTACATGCATATATTCACCCATACTATCATTAAGCACGCCAGTTCTAATTACAATTATGTTTTTCGAACATATTGAAGCGTAATATAACGTATCCTCGCGAAGAATATTTATTCTCATATGTAGGGATTTTTCATACATGCTATATAATCTACATCTACATGATACCTTTGGTAAAGATACAAATTCTCGTGCAGACGTTTAGAACTTCACGTGATCTTTCCTGTGGCGCATGTTACTTCCGCTAAAGTATTTCACGATGGACGGGAGTTGCCCAAAAAGACAGCCTATGAAATTTTCGACCTCAATTAGACAATAATATCTTTGAACAACATAAATATTTAACTGTTACGGCTTGAGCACGACGCGAATTAACACTATTGTGCAATATTCTGAATGATCAATACGACTTTTGCGTGAACAGACATTGACAGACGCTTGATATAATTCAAACAATTAAAACGAAATTTTTCTCTAATGTACATATATGTATACAGTATCTCTTGCTAAAATATCCTGATAATTATGAATTAAAGAATATAAGAGTTTTTTTAAAGGGTTTTTTACTCTAAGATTAAAAGTATAAAGTTCTATATTTGAACTTTCGACCATTCGTGGGGAGACGCGATCTCGAAGAAGCGTGCCAACGGGGGTCGTAAATTCTCGTTACGATTTGAATAATTGGCGCCACGAATCGTTCCATCCCTTATTTCGGTTAAGATAATAAGGGTGGTTGAATAAATATACCGCTGATATTAACAGGTCAATATATATTTCCAAAGATCCAACAACTTCAAAGTGGTACAATGTTGCATATGTGGAATGCCAAACTACGAATGAATACGACCTGAGACTCGTTTTATGTTGGCGACTGTGATGTATCTTTTGTCGATTGACTGTCTTCGATTTGGAAATTCTGCTGACTGACTTCTGACTCCTTCTGTTCCTCGAACTGTGTTTTAACTCCAGCTGGTTTTAACTGACTATTCGCTCTTATGTTATTATGGAGGAAAGCTCGGTAAGCGTGTGCTCTTTGAACGAAGAACGCGGATTCGTTGTTTACACTTTTCGTCAGGAAAGTGAGCATAACGATCCGCGATGTCCATTGGTTATGACCCACGTTAATGAATGCAGATAGGAGGAGGAAGCTTCCTACCAACGTGGATCGTGAGTGATCTTGTTCATGGGAAACACCAACTTTTCCGTTAGACAATATTCGTTTTTCGCGTTAGGTAACTACCCGCTTCCTCCGTGATTTTTACCTAAACCTAACAAATAACACCTAACCTAACAACAAACCTAATAACAAACCTAAGGACTGTTCTAAGGACCAGCCATACGCAGAAAATACAGGATTGAAGATTCAGTTAAAAAGATTCTGTTTATGGTGGTTCCTTAGGTTTATTGAGGGTCTGAATTACTGTGCGTGGGCCTTTGACGATCAGACCATGAAGGACGGCGCACGGACTGCCCCACGTGACGTAACAATATTCTTAAAGTTACATGCTCTAAAATAATCTACTTTTATTTAAATTTGTATTATTAAGATATCGTCAAGCTAGGTAGAGCTCGCTCTATGAAAGATACAATAACAATTGGTGAAAATGCGTCTATTAGGCGAGTAATATTGTTATTAATGATTCTAAATCTACAAATAATACTGGTAATACAACAGGACATGTTATTTTTCTTTATTCTATTTTATTAAATTGTCATAGTATATAATACACAAGTGAGACATTCATTTATTAAATTCACTTATCAAGCAGAAATAATGTTCTCATTCGTGGAGTTACGTTTAGTGTTCTCGTTAAAAAGTCGATAACAAAAGGACAGTACACGTTTCTACGGCAAAATCACAACTTACTAATATATCCTGTTCGAAGGACAATCAATAAATACTACTGTTCTATTTGTAAATGCATTCGTATCGTTGCGTGGAACAGATACTCTGAAACTCATGATGGACAAGACAGGGGGTTGGAGAGTTGAAGATTAGGATAGATTGAAAAAACCTGATATATCCGAGAAACACATAATAATCACGCACTCGGATCGTTTTAGTTCGACGAGAAAAAACAACATCTAAAATGTCTATAGTAAAGAGGAAATTTTTGAAAGTTGATTTAGATCATAGAAGGAAAGAGAAAGAAAAGAAAGAGAAAGACAGAGAGGGGGAGCGAAGGGTACGAGGGTAAAGGGTCGCGATGCTGCAGGGTCAAATAATGTCGTATTAATATTGTTCTTCTTCCTTCTTTTTTTTTTTTTTTGTTTGCTTTTCTCGTTTCTTTTCTGTTGTTTTGTAAGCTGCGTTAATACAATCGTTGAAATCGACACACATACTTTCGGGACACACACACAACTTTTATTTGCCTTTAGTGGCTCGTATCGCCTTGCAAATTTCAATCCACGGGTGTCCGTAGGAACTGCAAATGTCACAGACGTTCGACGAGCTTGATGATGGTTGACTAGGTTGGTGGCCGGGTGTACTTGGTGAGGATGACCCTTCTTTCTTTAATTTACACGTGGATGACGAGAGATGTAGAAAATCAACCGAGGGTGGTAGAGTGGCGGGTGCACGTGTTTTACGTGATGACGGTAATGTTGCTGAGTTGTACGACGATGACGAGTTAGACGATGGTAGTATTGAGGGCGATCGCTCGAGCGATGGAGATTTTGCCGCCTGTATTGACCGGCTCGAAGGCGACGATAGGCGCATACACCGTAGAAGGTTGAGTCAATCATTGAGCAGACCTTGAGACACACTGATTAGCTGCTCCTTCAGTACGCGGAAGGAGGGTCGTACTTCCGGGCAATGGGCCCAGCATTTTCGCATTACCTAAAACACAAATAATCAATTAATATACAAATAGAGTTCCTGTTAAAGTCTTGGGGTTGTTGTAGGATGATCTTATTAGAAGAATTCCTTGAAAATAATCATGTTTATTTCTTTACATATTATGTATACTGAGTGATTCAGGTAACTGTTTCATGTTATAATTCCGTTAGCATTGCAGAAAAATGTCAAAGGAGGAACATGAATGATCCAAAAAGTACTATATCCGTAGGACCATGTCTTTTTTGGAAGTACAGTGGTGTATGTGCAATCAATAATTGCTTTATCTTTTTAAAATGGGAATGCATACTTTTTATTACATAGATAGATTTCTCTCGTCATTCTATGTAAAAGAGCCATCCATCATCATCCATCTTTCTCCTTCGACATTTTTCTCTAACTGTACTGGTAACAGAGTTATAACATGAAGCAGTTGTGTGGACCACCTTGTACATCATAGCGTAAATAATTTGGAATACGATATGGCTATAGCAAACCTCGTAGACTTCTTTGAAGCAGGCTTTAGGTCTTTCCAATATGATTCCGCGTTGCACTCTTTCCACAACTTCGGTGTTTTTTAGGCGACCATAAGGCATCTTTCCGCATGTGAATACTTCCCACATAAGCACTCCATAGGCCCAGACGTCTGATTTTGAGCTGAAGCGAGTGTAGTTCAGCACTTCTGGGGGCGCCCATTTGATTGGAAATTTGGTGCCTCCGCTACTAGTATACTGGTCATCCAGTACATACCTACAACGAAATTAAAAGATTTCTAATTAGTAACTATGAACAAGGAGTACAAGAAGCTGCATAATGCAGGAAAGGTTTTCACCTTGCTAATCCAAAATCTGCAACTTTTACCACATTTTCTGAGCCCACTAAACAATTGCGTGCAGCAAGATCTCTATGAATGTAGTTATGCCTTTCTAAATAAGCCATGCCTTTGCAAACCTGTAATTCAGAGTATTTCAATTAGCATTAATAATTAGAATGATTAAGAAATGAAGGAATGACATTTAGCAATTTTGAATTTACCTGTATGCACATGTCTAAAAGGAGACCAACATTTACTCCTAGAGTTGCTTCATGACGACGGAGGTAGTTGAGCAGAGATCCATGTCGCATGTATTCAGTGACAATATATATTGGTCTGTCCTTACTGCAAACGCCATATAGTTGGACCAAATTCTGATGTTGAAGTTTCCTATACCCAATAATTTAACATTTGTCATTCTCTAAATTTATTTCTTAACACTACAATTATTAACACGTTGACTGCCACGACACCTGTATTTGGGTGTCAGCAAAGTTTCTGGTCAGATCGCGTAATCCATATTCGGGTGTCGCTTATTTGACTACTTGTGAAGGATTGTCGTAGGTATTTGAAAAGATATTCCATAATAATAAAACTGTCCAATTGTTATACAAGTAATACGAAAATGGTTTATTAAAAAAATTATTTAGAATGTAAAACTTATTTCTAAGTTTTTAATTTTTCTTTTCGACGTTGTAACGAATTAGGGCAGAGATTTTAAGTTATACCGTTCCTTGCTCGGCCAAGATTTAAACTGAATTTGCAGAAACTGAAGAGATGAGAAACAAATGCAAAGGAATGGAAACAAAAAAAACGAGAGATCATTCTTGAGACCATCACTTGAGCGACTCGCATTATTAAAATATTGATGAGAGTACCTAACAGAGAACGCTCGGTACTGCTGCACGCGTGGCCTGACGGAGATTTCTTTGAAAACACGCGTGGCAATCAACGTGTTAAAAGATTGATTTAATTATCGGCTTACGTCATCACTTTAGCTTCCTCTATAAAATCATCTTCAGACATCGTGCCTTCCTTCATCATTTTTACTGCAACATCTATAGAACCGCGCCATTTTCCTCTTCGCACTACGCCAAATTGTCCAGAGCCAAGTTCTTCCAACAAGTGCAATTCTGCTGGATCAATCTCCCACTTATCTGTAAATCAAAGATTTGCTACAGCATTCTGCAGAAAATGGCTTACTTCTTAACGCCTTTTTAATTCCCTTTTTTCTTTTGGAAATTACTAGACTATGGATATTTATGCAGATTCATATTTTCATGAGCAGAATTAAAGAAATAAGATTTAGATTTTTGAAAGCAGAAGATTTGTTTTGCCTCCTGAATATTATAACGTGTATTCTATCTTAGATATTTTATACATTTCTATATATTATGTGACCAGCATACATTTTTCTTGATAATTCCCATAAATATATGAGAATCTATAGTCTCGAAATTACAAACCATGACTGAGGCCAGCAGTTGGTGGCACAGGGCGATCACAAGGACTGGTTTTCAGTCTGCTGGCTAGTCCACCGCTATTGTGCCTGTGATAGTTAACCAAGTCTGGTATTGAGCCACAGCAATGTTTTTCGGACAGATAAAACTCTCCTCTAGTGTTTTGTTTGATGTGATAGTGCTTTACGTGAGGATGTGGGCTATAACGATATGAATATCTTCTTATTAATTTTTTCTACAATTGTTATCGTATAAGGTAGTATCGTATGTGAAAACACTTACACTTTAGTGTAGAGAGAAAGCGTGTACAGCCCTTTGGTAGACGAATTACGTACGACGAAGCAACCTTCCTTATCCTCCTGTTTGAGCAATGATTCTGCACGTTGTCTGGACATATCACCCACGTACCACCTACAATTCCAATCATTATATTTCAATCATCATTACATATAGCGTTCGTTCGTTATTTAGTTCCTTATTTATTATAATCTATAGTTTCCGGCTTACATGATATTTACATTTACATTCTGAAATCTTATCTTACTAATTACTCAATTCAATCCATTTTATCACTACCTCACAACATTATATAACATTAAAAAAGCATAAATTATGTATGAACTCCCTGCAGGTACGTACTCATATTTCTGAAGACCCAGGAGTTCCTTTTCCTTCACGTAGTTGCTAGGAATGTAACCGATGGATCTGAAAGGAGAATCAGAGGTTACAATTAATTGTTCTACGTTATTCTCTGTCCAAACTATTCTATAAATATTGTACAAACATTGTGCAATTATTAACAAACCGATGTCACGGAAATTTGATGAAACTTCGCAAACGAACATTATGCTTAAGTTTTGATAAAATCCAATTATGAATTTATAGCAGACAAAGTAACATCATATTGTGTAATGGACGTCATTTTATCATTATCCTGCTTCGTTTCCACGCACATATTCGGTGCTCAAATATGCAAAACGAATAGGCAATTTTGATTGTGTCAATATCATTTGTGTGTACGTCGATTGCTCTACATATTTCAAAATTTCAAAAGTGACGTAACTCAAACAAGTATGCTTTTGGGAAGAGCAAAGAACTATTTCTGAGCTTGAACAGTAGATAATTGTTTACCAAACCGGCAAAATGTTGGTCAAATTGGTAACATAATTCATAACGGTTAAGAATATCATCCCCTTAATCTCATTATCAATAAAATTAGGTTTAAATTGTAACATTATTGTTAGTGAAAAAATGTAAGCTATTTTTTATAGCAATAAATGCAGAATATTATTTTATAAAAGCTAGTTAGTGGACTGACTTATACCACTATGTTTATCAGTCCTTTACACATGCAGCACGCTAATATAAATATTTTACATGCTAAGTACAGTTTCCCTTGGCTCGTGTTTACTTGCTACACGTCTTATTTTAACGTTCGCCAGTCGAATCGTCTACCAACGAATGCATAGCCCTAATCTGCTTTTGGTTGCGTTAAGTAGTCATCAGGGAGTACGAAGAGAGGAACCTAAGCCATTAAAAGCACTCGATTGCCGAGCATGCAAATTGCTACGAAGATATGGGTATCGAGCGAAACGTCGTTAATCCTAATTACCGCTTGCAGCAAGGGTTTGCATAATTGGCTGGATCTAATTAAATTGAAGCTTGATCTCGATCGAAATCTTTCGATCCGATGTGTGGTTTTATTCGCTTGAATTAATGTTTGCTAAAATGGTAATAAGTTTTCAAGGAAATTTTAGAGAAAGTTTTAGGACAAAAGACGTAAATAAATAAATTAGAAGCGAGGCAACATATTAAAAATAAATGTAGCAAAAATGATTCTACGTAGAATTAAAATTACGCTCCTTTTGCTTTGCTCTTCTTTTGTTGAATATGATGCAGCCTTTACATACCCGTGTTCATCTTTGACTTTCCACCAATGTTCCTGAGAGTCATCCAGCACCTCGTACTCTGCACCCTGCAATACGAAACAATTTATTATTATTCTTTCATCATACTTGAATAATTTAAATTCCGTATACGATACGACGTTGACAAGTATCAATCAATGACTTTTAATTCTAACCGCGAATAATACAACCTTCGATGTGACTCTCGATGACAATGTATCTCCAAATGATCTTAAACTTGAACGAAACAACTTCGACTAATGTTAAAAACCAACCATAACCTCGACAACCATCCATGATTTTCACCTTGATTGAAAATGCTATGACTTTGAGAATCGTCGATCATTTTCAAGTTATTCTGAGCGTCGATTATTCGACCTCGATCATTACGCGTCATGATTGTCAAATAACCTCAACCGGAAGTTACACTGAATGGTATGACTAGTGAATCGTATTTAGTGAATTGTTGAACACCACAAAATATAATACGTTAAATTTCGCGAGTAACAAACGTGTCTATCGTCGATCTATTTATTGTATGTATTAAGCTCGTTAATTCAATTTTTTTTCTTTTTTTTATTTTATTTAGTTGTTTACATTCACAATTTGTCCGATTTAGACATTTGGTAGAATTTTTTGGCTGTTTGATTATCATGTGGGTGGCTACTCCCAGCGGGATACTATCTTCGTGTTTGTTAGGTTATATCCTTTGTGTTAATTCAATTTATTCACATATTTTGGTCCTTATTGGTACAGCGAGGATTTAGAAAACTATGCTGGAACGTCTAGTAAATTTTCGAAAGCCATAAAATATCTCTTTGTTAATTTAATGTCTGATGGAACGTGGTGCGCCGTACGTGTTCAAGTGTTAATGGGACCCAAGGTTTCTCTGCATATTAGAGGATAACCAGAGAGCCCGTGGAATGCCAGAGATGCTGCTGCTTACGTCGACAATAACATGATCGACGCAGGACATTACACGGACCGTTATTTAACCGCAGGATCCCAGCTGTATCCAGATTATAACTTGGAAATGTAACGCTGGTTTCGAATCTTCGCATAACGCCATGTGTTTTGAATTAAAACGGTCGCACGATCGACCAATAGTTTTAGAAAGGAAATTGCTGACGATGATCCTTGACCGAACTTTGTTTCCTCGTTAGAAGCATGTGGTGGTTTTAGGTGCGCCATCTATTGTCAAAAAGTTCTCAAACAGTTATATCTTTTGGTGAACTAAATATTGCTTGGTTGTTAGGTTAAAAGTAACCGTAATATTTTAACCAGACGGATTCTGTAGAAAGAAAAATTACATTTCTAACGACATATACATTTTTCAAAAATTCCTTATTTTCTCCGATTTTGCTTGCAACCTTTACTTTTATATTCTTTCTTTTGTAATATAATATATTAACACGCTGAATGTCACGACAGTTTTACAAGGTTTGGCCGTGGCGCCACGGTGAACTTTTTATTATGACATACATATAATATTGAAATATTACCTACAACAGATATGCTACGGTGTATAATCATCGCTAATGAATTTATCTCACTGAGGTCACCGGTAACCTCCGCGGCGCTGTAGTGCAATTTCACCCGATTCACTTACTTTTTGCGATTATCAATTATCTCATATTGTTTCTTCGCGTTGCTAAATAATTGTTCTACGTTATTGGATTCCGGGACCTATCATAAACCATAATCCATCCCTCGGTCATATTTATTCGGACCAGCAATAATCCTAAAGAATCGTCACAAGATGTGGCAGTTTTTACTTTATTGTCAATAATCTTAATTGCCATCAAACATCTTTCAAGTCGAAACGTTTTTTAGGGTTACTGTTCATTAAGGTAAAACACGGACATAGCGGGTTTTCCCATGTTCGACAGCTACTGGTGGCGGACGCACATAATATATTTCATGTATAAATAAAACTATTTTTATATGTTTTACACTGTCACCGGTAACCGGCCCTCAACTTGGCCGTGGGACACCGTGGAGGTTAAGTTAACCTAACCCCAACCTAATCCCATGGCATTGAACGTGTTAAGTAATGTAATATAATAAGAATATAATAAGAAAAAGCTCGTCAGTAAATAGGGTTCTATGGAACATTGTATCCGTATTTGTTACCGTTCTATTGCTTGTTTTCAAGTACTTACAAATTAGAATAGCTAGAATTAGACAAAAAATCGCGCGCAAATCATTTTTAATGATTCTTGCATATTTTCTTAAAATCGAAGAAGCTTTTCTGCAACGGAAAACATGATCACGCGAAATGTAACCTATCGAAGGTAGCAGAATTATTTAATCCATTTATCCACCTAAACTAGACGGTCTACTGTGTCAAGCCAGAACCAGGTCATTTTGGAACAAAAGTACTATCTGTATTTTCCGCAAGGAATGATCGAAAAAATTCAAGATTTTACTTAACTCCTTCGAAAGCTTTGGACAGCGGTGTAAAGTTTCTATATCCTCATAATTCAATTTGCCTGTTCGATTCTGTATGATATAGCGCATGAATCAAATCGATTTATAGTGGCGCGGTTATTAACGTAATATGTACGCGTGTTTGGATTCGATAGGACGAACAAGTGTTCGACGCGATTAAATTGTGGTTGGTCAAGTTCCATTTGAACCGATACAAACGGCGTAATTTATGTAGTTCAGTTTGCTACCATACCTTTTAGTTTGCATCGTGGTATAACACAGATTCTTAGGATAACATTTACCCTCATATGATATGATACGCTTTACTTTATCGACGTATGATTTTCATCTCTACGACGCGATCCGATTTGATTTCGTTTGGTACAGTTTGACATAACTGGCTACGATACGTACCATGTAATGCTAGTTTGCTTTTTTCCTTCTTTCACGCTGTACATAACACGATTCCAATCGATTCAGCTCGAGTGCACGCGCTACGATTTAATTCGATTTGATAGGAAACAATGCAGTTTCCTACCATAGACCGCGGTAACGTTCGGTTTAACGTCGGATCGTAAACTATATTCGCTACGTAGCTACTCTAGCTGAATGCGATTTCGTACCATTCGAACGCATAATTATTGGAATCTTCGCAAAGCACGAAAAGATATGGAAGGCCCATTCACAATCGAATATCGACTGTCGTTTGCTTTTATGTGATTCGGATTTCGGTTTCAATGGGCAATTATTGTGGCTTCAGGTTCTCCCCGATGTAATTAAAACTGCATTACAGAACCGTCCGTTAAACGATCCCGTGCATCGATCCTTTCTATCGCCGTTTAATCGCGTATTACATATTTTATAACCTATCGATACTCGTGAACGTCGTACCACGCGGATAAGTCGACTCATGATACGGTTTATTGTGAGTGTTGTTTTTTTTCATTCTTTCAATAAAAAAGCGAAAAACCGAATTTCCCTTACCTTTTCGAGGGACAAATCGCCACCCTCGATCGCTCGAAAAGGGTACAGAGCTACCACGACCTTCGTTCTCATCATTATCTTGTCCTGCAACATGTATTGATTGTTACTCAATTTATCATTTTTACGTTGTTCAATTAAATCAAAAAATTAGGTTACTTAATTATTTAATTACGGAGAATGTTTTCTTTTTTGAGAAGTATATTATTACAATGTGGTAAATAATGTTTTATGGAAAATAGTGATATTTATCTGTCACCTTGTTTTCTTGTGGCGGAAGGATATGTAGCTCGTTGAAATATGAAAGGAGGATTTGTTACTTTACCTTGGTTTTAGAAGATGGCGTCCCAGGTGTGCCCCCTGGCATTATTGGAGTCGAGGGGGTCCCTGTAACATAAACATTACAAGTTTTCCTTAGCGATTGATTTGTTAAAATAAAAGATACGTTTATTTTAAAATCGATGTATTTCATATACAGTCGTTTACGATCAAGAGTATTAAATATATTTCAGTATTGGACATATTGTACCAAGTTAAAACTGCAAAATGTAGACGCTTTATGTGGGGCAGAACTTAAAAAAAAAACGGAAATGTATTGTTATATTTTCTGACTTGAGTTTGTAGAAAAACTAATTTCCATCGTTCATGGAAGAGTTAATTTTAGTTACAAGTATATAATATAAAAAAAGGATATAATGAAGAAACACTTGTACGATCTGTTGAAGTAATTACTTCAAGAAAAACTCTACATCTTTGCTTTTGTATATCCGTGAACTGCAAACCGCTGTTACAAAGAGAATAGGATTTAGTGAAAAAAATTCCAAACACGGAGAGGTGCATATTATTGTGCCCTTGAATATAAATTTTGTTTTAGATTACAAGATCTAGAGACAAAAGAGCTATGAGTAGATTTCTATCGCTGTTTCTTGTAGCTTTCAACTACAGCTACACACCAAGGTTAACTTTTTGGTAATGTCCTTTGCTGTAAATATATGAACATGCTCTCTATCCTTTTTCTTCCTAGTGTATTGTATCACTGTAAGAGTGAGCATCTGGATCAGCATACACTATACTTATACTTGTTTCAATATATTTTTCTATTACAAATTCATCCACTCGTTCCTCTATCAGTCAACCCGAACAATATAATACATTAAATTAATAAATAATGATAAATAAATTGTTGATTTTTACCTCGTACACTATACCTGTACTTATAGTTGTTTCAACATATTTTTCTGTTACAAATTCATCCAGTCGTTTCTCTATCACTTAACCTCAACAATATCACACATTAAATTAATAAATAACGATAACAATTTACTTGATTTTGATCTCAATATACCTGTACTTACATTTCTATATATTTTTCTATTACAAATTCATCCAGTCGTTTCTCTATCACTTAACCTCAACAATATCATATATTAAATCAGTAAATAATGATAAATAAATTGTTAATTTTTACCTCATACACTATACCTGTACTTGTACTTATTTCAATATATTTTTCTTTACAAATTCATCCACTCGTTCCTCTATCAGTCAACCTGAACAATATCATACATTAAATTAATAAATAATGATAACAATTTATTTGATCTTGACCTCATACATTGTACTTGTATTTATACTTGTTTCAATATATTTTTCTTTACAAATTCATCCACTCGTTCCTCTATCAGTCAACCTGAACAATATCATACATTAAATTAATAAATAATGATAACAATTTATTTGATCTTGACCTCATACACTATACCTACACGTATTTTTGAGGTTATTAAATGTATGAACAGAGGAACGCGTGGATGAATTGTAACATAGAAAATATATTTTAATACAGAAGTGTAAGTACAAGTAGAAATATAATTTGAGCTGGTCCTGATCCGCACGCTAGCAGTGTTACCCTATAACTGAAACCCCCAAAGCCGTCGTCGCCATTTTACTGTCTATGGTCTGCCTTCGTCCCAGTCTATTGTCTGTACGTTGTCGATGGCTTCAGTGCTTGAGAAAACTAAGAAGACCAGATGTAGAGTTTTCTTAGAAGTGGTGACCACTTCGACTACTCTCCCTAAAAACTCTACATCCCTACAAACAATTACCTCTTAATATCTTTTTTATTTCTCAAACCTAAATATTCATTTGTCTTAAATATTCAAATCTTGGTTTTGGCAACGCTTTTGTACATATATCTGCCAGTTGCTTTTCGCTTGTTACATACATTACATCAATTTCGCCCCTATTGTATAAATCTCGCAAGAAATGATATCTTACATCAATAATCAAAAATTACAAAATAATAATGATATCTTACATCTTCTTTGATGGAGTTCTGCACTCTTAATTAATTCCACGGCACTAGTATTGTCTACACATAGCCTATGCTTAAAGATCTCTATCTTCACCGTGTTGTCGAATGTTTCGAGGATGTCGAACCATTCTTGTCGTACTGTCATATGATCCGTAGCTCCTGAGTCGAATGTCCAAACATCATAGTTTGCCGTTTGTATCGTTGAGGTGCTTTCTAATAGACCAATTCCGCTGTGATCTCGATTTTGATTTCTGGTTTCTTGGTTGTCTCTACTGTTGTTTCCTTTATTATTTTTAAAGCAATTTTTACTGGTGTGGCCTTTCCTTTTGCATATAAAGCATCTAAAGCAATCCTTCTTTAGATGGCCAATTTTTCCGCAGTTAAAGCAACTTGGTCCTTGTTTCTCGTATTCATGTTTACTTGACTGCTTCTGCTGTTCCCTTTTATAATTATTACCTTTTGTTACCAGTGCCACCGATGTTTCCTGGTCGTCTTTCTTCCATCTAATTTCTTCCGTCATCAGCCTGGTACTAAGCCTGTCTAAGGTCTTCTTTTCTTCTTCCACGGAATCCCACGCACTGTGAAAATGATCGAATTTGTTTGGTAACACCGATAAAATGCGTGTTATCAGCATTTTCTCGCCAATTTCACTCCCAAGGGCTTTCATCTTCGCCGCTATGAGTTCCAACTTTGATAGGTTGTAAGAGACATTTTCAGATTCTTCCCATTTAAAATCGAAGAACTGCTTCTGGACCATATTTAAATTCTCATCCGACTTCATGTCATATACTGTATTCAGCTTTTTCCACATTTCATGTGCTGTCGTGCAACATAAAAGAAGATCCAACGGTTTCTTTCCTACTGAGGTCACGATTAATTTTCTCGCTAATCGATCTGCTTTCAAAAATCTTCCACGAGCGATTTCTTTCTCCGCGCTGTTACCTGGATGACACAAATTCCCTTCACACACGTTGATCAGGTCGTCATCTTCCTCCAAAAGTGTACGCATAACAAAACGCCACTGGAGCCAATTTTCTTCGCCGCGTAACATCTCGACCTTCGCACTTGCTGATTCCATTTTAGCACTATCCCTTATTTTACTAAGCACAACACTTTAACAATTTATTCACTTCACGTTGCTACCTTGCAATTTACAGCCCTGCGCCCATAACCTGTTGAGGTTATTAGATGTACGAACAGAGAAACGCGTGGATAAATTGTAAAGCACAAAATATATTTTAATACAGATGTGTGAGTACAAGTAGGAATATAATCTGAGCTAGTCCAAATCCACACGCTAGCAGTGTTGTCCTATAACTGAAAACCCCGAAGCCATTGTCACGTAAACTTGAGGGTTGGATGATAAAATAAAATAGCTAAGTCGTAACACAACTATTAATTTTGTTTTAATTAAACTTTATTATGAATTCAGCAATCACAATGGAATACACACTGAATTAACACACATAAATCACAATTCACTCCAACCAGGTTATGTAAAACTCAGTTACACCGATACGTTAAGTACGCGACTGTTATAAGGGTAGACACCGGTAAAGATATGTTGACTATTCTAAGGATACCGAATAAGTGAGTTTTACTGACGATACTGTGTCTGAGCAAAGCTAGGAGTGGGTGTGTCTAAGGACACGGAACTATCGGATTTGTTGATGACAATTTTGGTTAGGGAAGTGAGGGCAGTAGACACCGTTTCCGATTGGATAATAAGAAGGTTGGTGGTCCAGGAAGGGTTTTAACCGCCCTCGCGAGAAAGTTGCTAACGGAACGTACCAGACGCAAGGAAAACTAACTTTCCGTGTTAACCCGTAGTAAACAATAAACGTAAAAGGAAACCTAAGACAAGAGATACTCGCTTGGTCTGAAGGACCGTAACTAAGAAAATTCCAAGACCCCTGGTGGGTACTTAAGACTATTGAGGGTACGCTCCAAGGATGTGCAAACATCTGGGCGGGCACCACCCTGCCTGCGGTGCGTGGCCTGATCTCTGATGTGTCTACTGTCTATGGCCTGCCTTCGTCTCAGTCTATTGTCTATACGCTATCGATGGCTTCAGTGTTTGAGAAAACTAAAAAGACCAAATGTAGAATTTTCTTAGAAATGGTGACCACTTCAACGTAAATAATAATAACAATTTATCTGATTTTGACCTCATACACTATATCTGTACTTATACTTATACCTATACTTATGCTTGTTTCAATATATTTTTCTATTACAAATTCATCCACTCGTTCCTCTATCAGTTAACCTGAACAATATCGTGTATTAAATTAATAAATAATGACAACAATTTATTTAATTTTGATCTCATACACTATACCTGTACTTATACTTATTTCAATATATTTTTCTGTTACAAATTCATCCAGTCGTTCCTCTATCAGTCAACCTGAACAATATCATGTATCAAATTAATAAATAATGATAACAATTTACTTAATTTGATCTCATACACTATACCTGTACTTATAGTTGTTTGAATATATTTTTCTGTTACAAATTCATCCACTCGTTCCTCTATCAGTTAACCTCTTCAATATCATATATTAAGTTAATAAATAATGACAACAATTTATTTAATTTTGATCTCATACACTATACCTGTACTTATACTTATTTCAATATATTTTTCTGTTACAAATTCATCCAGTCGTTCCTCTATCAGTCAACCTGAACAATATCATGTATTAAATTAATAAATAACGATAACAATTTACTTGATTTTGATCTCACTATACCTGTACTTATACTTATTTCAATATATTTTTCTGTTACAAATTCATCCAGTCGTTTCTACTATCACTTAACCTCAACAATATCACACATTAAATTAATAAATAACGATAACAATTTACTTGATTTTGATCTCACTATACCTGTACTTATACTTATTTCAATATATTTTTCTGTTACAAATTCATCCAGTCGTTTCTACTAACTTAACCTCAACAATATCACACATTAAATTAATAAATGACGATAACAATTTACTTGCTTTTGATCTCACTATACCTATACTTATATTTCTATATATTTTTCTGTTTCAAATTCATCCAGTCGTTTCTACTGTCACTTAACCTCAACAATATCACACATTAAATTAATAAATAACGATAACAATGTACTTGATTTTGATCTCACTATACCTATACTTATGCTTGTTTCAATATATTTTTCTATTAAAAATTCATCCAGTCGTTTCTCTATCACTTAACCTCAACAATATCACACATTAAATTAATAAATGACGATAACAATTTACTTGCTTTTGATCTCACTATATCTATACTTATATTTCTCTATATTTTTCTATTACAAATTCATCCAGTCGTTTCTCTATCACTTAACCTCAACAATATCACACATTAAATTAATAAATGACGATAACAATTTACTTGCTTTTGATCTCACTATACCTATACTTATATTTCTATATATTTTTCTATTACAAATTCATCCAGTCGTTCTTCTATCAGTCAACCTAAACAGGGTCTGCAATTTAGAACTAGTTTTCATTTTTCGAAACATTCGCCATTAGTCTGAGTTTTTCACGGCAGCGAAGCTGCTTGGTTCGTTTCCTGGGATAATTATCGAATGTAGTATGGAGAAGACTTTGGAGAAGAGATCTCATAACTTACATCTAATGAGCTTACGTTGCTTGCGATGTTTTTAATGAATACTAATGAACTCTAAAATTTCGTTCTCCTTTCCTCCAAAGGAAAAGTCCGGTCTGCGAAGCGAGCTTTTTTAACCGAGAATAATTGCACTCATTCTCGTAGGAACGGTCTATGAATGAGAAAGAAAAGGACAACTTTTTTTTCTTTAATCTAACAAACAAATTCTACGATGTTCGCTTCTTTTCTCATCGTCTTAAATCGCCTTAATTAACAACGAATTATGAAATGGAAAGATTGCAACTTTTTGACGAAATATTTATTGGCAGAATAACCGATGCTGTTACGTAGGTAAGTTGTAAAGTGGAATTCAACTGGAATTATAGTGGATTTTATTATTGAGCCAATTAATCAACTCTTTCTCTCTCTCTCTCTTCTCGTTGGTAATTAAGTAGAGATTAAAAGTTTTCGTTCTATTTATTTCTCCGTTACGAGTTCAGACAATAATCGTAACGAACGTCCACAGAATATTATTCATTTATGAAACAGGATGTTGAAAAATTCGTTTAATTCGGACGACATCTTTGTTTGCATCAGACGTTTGAGAAATGCTGCAGTTAAACTTTGAACAGCGATTTGTCGATCTATAGTATAATAATTTATGATACAGAGAACTATAGTTAAAGTACAGTTCTCGAGAAGACTACAGAAAATGCTTTCGTTCAACGAATATCTGTAAAAATATCATTATATCAGATATTCGAACGTCTACGTTTCTAAATATCCAAATTTATTTTAAATAAAATGCAAATCATTTTGAGAAATAAAAAAAAATTCATATTACATAAACGATGAAATACAAATATTGACGAGATGAAATTCCTTTTTTTTTTGTGCCTAACCGAAGTGTCGAGCGTTAAAACAGCTACTCGTTTCGTAGAATCTCGCTCGAAGGTTTCAAACATTCGTCGCAAGCAAAGCAGACGAGCCACTCTATCGGGTGTTCTAATAACGCACGCGAACATCCAGTGAACACGCTAATAGACAACAATATATCCATTCGTGTTTTATGATACATTCTCTGTATCTCGTAATATTCGTTCCAAGCTAGGAAAGAATCATAACGAATCATAAAAAAAAAAATAAAAAAAAAAAACGGATATGAGAGGAAAAAAGAAATGACGAGAACAAACGATGGGTAGGTCATCGGCTAAATATTTTCGTTTGCTGTGAATCGACCGATTTACTTCGATGTCAGCGGTATCGAGCCTGATGTTTCGTTAATATTTTGCGAACAGCACGTCGAGCATCGTTTCGATATTCGCACAGCTTTTCCTCTTTTATAGTTTTCATTTCTATCTAGATATGTCGCAACAATAGAGTTGCAGCTTCGTTCTGCATATTTCCTTTCCTATCTTTTTTTCGTCTGTATATCTTTTTTTACCTCGAAGCGAACTCTGCTTCAAACGTGACCTTTATACGAGAATATGGCTGTGTTGCCAATTGTTCACTTGCCTGGCAACGAGACGGATGAATGAACATTTACAAAATTAAACGGATCAAGTTATCTTATCGAATAACGCGGCATCTCGTCGAATTTTATTTACTTTTAACGTCTCGTCGCTGATCTACGTTTCATATTTCTCCACGAGGAACGCTCGTCCAGTCGATCTATCCGACTTTCTTTCCAAATTACTGTTTTCTGTCTTCGTTATTCAATATGTACAGTACATCCTTCCATGGAACGCTAGAAGGAAACTGTTAGCTCAGTTTAACAAAATTGTTGCTAGTACTTCACACTCTGACAGTCGTAGCAAAAAAATTTTTTTTATTATTTAATTTGTACTTTACAATTTGTACATTCGGTAAATTCGGGGAGTTCTCTGGGAGAAAGATTCTATAGGTCTATTAGAGATATATACGGACTTTCTTTCATTTCATAAATATAAAGAAGAGAAAATTTCTTTAAGACCAATTGTAATCATAAGACTGCGAATTTGTATATTACATTTGTGGAAAATTTGAAGATGCAAAAATGCACTTAATGTATATGAAAATATAGAAATTTATCCAACGTATAATCCTCTCTATAACGTTCGGTGGGTAAAGTAATTCTCTACTTGGGTTTCAGTTTTTTAATTGTATTTATGGAAGTATCGTTTTGTATAAATATTCACGGTTTGATAATTACCAATTCGAATGTACCTAATATTAAAAAACTAGAACTAATACTTTCGACGCAGTCTTATGAGTCTCCTTTCTCAGAAGTATAGTATACAATAAGTATAGGCAGCAATAACGAGATATAATAACATTAAAAATATGAACTATGTAGTATATCATACGTTTCGTGTTATACTATTTGCAATAGGTTTGAAGGTATTACGTATTGTTCGAGAACATTGAGTTTGAGGATGTTTTCGAAACGAGCAATTTGCATCGATACCCGGTTTTCTCTACGGATCATATTTCTGTTTTCTCTTGGTTTCAGGCAGCGACTCTTTGTTGGTCTCAATTAGCGTGACGCGTAACGAGCTGCAGCTCGTTAGCTGACCGATTCGTTGATAAAATACACGATTCCATGATCCCTGTACAACCAACTGGATTTTTCGTTTTAATTACTCTTTCCTCTTAAAACTTTCAAACCTTTAGATCAACCGGATTCTAGTTGCCTGAATGATAACCATAATAGCACTTTCTTAACTAGCAAAGATTTTGCTTCGTTCACTGTTACGATCCTCACCAGTTCTAGTAACTGATTGATGGTGCTTCGAAAGCTTCTTGCACGATCGAGTTAACCCTTTGCACTTCTATATCGAGTGTGATTCGACATCAATTTTTATCTCAGGAGTTCCTTTGTCGAGTCCCACTCGACATTCTTTCATGTCCAAATCAATAGATGTCGCGCACAGGTTATCGATGCTCTTACCGAACTGGCTTACTTACCTAACTTATATCAATCTGCTCAGAGTTTGAAAATTGTATACCTGTCACCCTCTAAATATTTACGAGTGAAAGGCGCGAAATAAATAAGGACTTTGACAGTAGTGGTAGTGATGACTATATGCGAAAAGTAGATCTTGAGTACAATATAGTCGCTAAGCTTTGGGAGCTGCTGGTAACGAAATTGAAATAAAATTCCGAGTGCAAATGGTTAATACTATGGAGTTTCCTCCATATTTTTTTGGCGAAATTAGCAATGTTAATCAATTCCCTCGTATGACAGTAACAGGCTTGACAATAAGACGAAGATTTACAAGTGAATTGTACGAATTACAATTCGATCGATGGTATTTACGATACAAAATTGTAAGAATATGAAAACTGTTTGTGTAATAAATGTTTATAACCTATGCTTTGTCACTTGGTAATTTACTATCGTGTAAAAAGGTTTCAGTTTTACGTTCGTTAAATAAATAATTATGCCAGATGTTCGTGTCTCGTTCGTATTCGACGAAGAAAAGAGAAATATACTTTCTTCGATAATTGATCAATAAAGAGGTAAGATCGCGACTAGTGGCCAATTAGCAAACTAATCGTAGCAATCGGCTACTCTAGCACGCAACTTCGTGCTATCCTTCTGGTCGTCAGCTTTTATTTTATTTTTTTATTTTTTCTATTATTTAATTTGTACTTTACAATTTGTCCAGCTGGACATTCGGTAAATTTTTCTAGTGCTTTTATTTGAAAACATACCACGACGCCAGAAATTGCAACGGATCCATGATCCAGCCAAAGCGAGCCATCGAGCCTCTCCTATGCCTCCTTCCACACCACTTTTCTGAAGATGCTATCGTCGAACGTTTAAGTGAAAGCTCTAGAACCACACAGACTACGCGTGAACGCGCGTTTTACACAGGTATTTTTACCTCACCAACTACCCTCGAATTTCGTATGTTTTTACGCCGAATAAACAGAGAAAATAAATAAACAGAGAAAATAAATAAATAAATAATATAGAGAAACGGAGAAACACGGAGCAACTACGCGCGACGAAGAGACGTGGATTTTAAAGGGAATAATAGATATATATATAGTTAGGTTATCACTCGCGAACTGTAACCGAACTTCACGTGTTCCCGACGCGTCCCAAGAAACAGCCGAAGAAGAAAGATTTAATCGAGAGAAGAAATATTTTATTGCAAAGAAATATGAAAACTTGTAGGAACCACGTACAACGAAGAGACGTGAATTTTACAGGTAATGATACCTAGTTGGTTAAGCTTTCACTCGCGAACTGTGATCTAACTTCACGTGTTTTTCAGATAAGTCGAGATCGAGAGGAATAACACACGCCGTACGAGAAAAAGATACGGAGATATAGAGAATGAAAACACCACACGATGAAGAAACGTGGCTTTTAAGGAGAATATGGTTTATGGTTAGTACGATGACTAAGAGAAACGCGGTTGCAAGCAAGAGTGCAGGTGCGTGCACCGGCAGCACTGAATGCCGGAATATCAACGGTGAGCGAAGGACGATACCACAGCTAGTCTCCACCCTGTCTAGACAAAATCAATGCGACCTCAACCTCCTGCATCCCCTCCAGCATCCCTTAGACCGTTCAACGTCCCCACGTGCGTGCGTGCCTGCCTGCCTGCCTGCCCTGCGTCCCTCTCTCTTTCGAACTTCCTCTTCATGTCTAGTTTCATTACCGGAAGCAGTCTGCCGCTGCTCCACTCTATGGAGTGTGTACTACGTTCACCGACTACGGATACAAGTTGCTACTTCTTCCTTTCTCTTCCTCCTCTTCTACCTTCGCCATTTCTTTTTCTCTTCCTTGTCTATCTCTTTTGTTCTTTCCTTGGTCTTATCTCTTTTCTATTTTTGTAGGGAACATGCTGTTTCATTCGACCGGCACGATGGTCCTCGTCACACGTAGCGACGTGGATATTTGTGAGTGCTACACATGCACGAAGAGACAAGAGCGAACGGATCGAGGGAAAATGGAACGAGGGAATGCAATTTGAGACTGTTAAAATGTCAGCGATTTTTGCGACCGGACAGGAAATGTTTATTAACGGCCGTTGCCGGCGCCAGGTTTTACACAGCCGGATTTCGTTTCGCTGAAATACGGCTGTTTGGAAAACCGATAATGCGTGTAAAAATGTTCGTGTCACCGAGAGGCGGTGCGAAGGAAGCTGCCGGGATTCGATACGGGCGTAGTGTGCGACACGCCAGCTCTGGACTTACGAATAGCAAGTCACCGTTGAGTCTCACTAACGAACAGTTAATTTCGCGTAGTATCACGCTCTTTCCTTTATTCATCGTGACAGCGTCAGTTCGTAATAGCGTGAGCAATTTTATAATACGTTTTTGTGCTACTTGATCGAAACGATGTCCAATCAATACTCCAGTCAAAGGGCAGAGTAGCTCCTGACAATTTTCACAAGTGGTGATACTATAAGAAAGTAAACTTGACAATGAGAAACGTAATATTAGATCGTCTAAGCAATGTATTCGACAGATGAAACTAAGTGAAAATTGTTTAAAAGCAATAGGACATTATAGAAAACCAGCATGATCGCATGAAGTCCTACTATTCTGCTCTATAGTTAAATCTATTCTGATACTTTTATTAGTGTGAAACGTAGTTTTGCAGAACATATCAAAACATTTTCACGGAAGAGCAGAATATTGTAAAAGTCGTACACGATCATAAAAAACGTCTGTCGTGATAAATGCGTAAATATTGAATAATACAGCAGACATACGTACTACTTTTTTTTTTATTTATTAAAATTACAATCAATTCTTGCGTTGAGAATTTTCAGTAATTTTTCTGGCGTGGCGCAGTGACATGGCTGATTATTTATAATAAATTGATACTTATTATAGATAAGTATAATTTATAAGTAAGTATTATAAATAAGTGAATATTACTTAATTTAGATAACTAATTGAATCTAGCGGTTAGGTCTAGCGGGTAGTGCCCCCATACGTATTACATGAAAACTAAACCAAATCACAGAGACTACACTACCACATAGTCAGTCCGGCTATGTTACCATCGATATACCATCGTGGAGCTCTTTCCGTATCATCGGACAGTAAAAACGTATCGGCACGCTCTATTTGTTTGTTCGTTTCAGTCAAGTATTTGCATCCATATCTCGCCTTGAGACGAGAGTAGACGTTCTTAAAGCATTCGAGGGCGAGACACGATCGCGATGCATTAATCTAAAAAATTGATGAACCACGATACAACAGTCTGTCTTTCTCCTCTCATTTCACCTCCTGTGAACTGTGCGATGGAAACAAAAGAATTAACCTCGACCGATAGAATCGTCCGCGGTAACTGCTCGTTGGGGCGACAAAATGTTCGCTAGAAACACGAATACTTCTATCGATGGAGAAGAGAACGCTGGAACAGTTGACCTGTTTCGAGTAGTTGCTCTGTATACAATACACGATACACGCGTCGCCCATTGTACGGTTAGCGAGCGCGAATACGTTATTACTTGCTATTATCGCCGCTACCGAATGTTTCATATTGTTTTCCATTCTTCAACGATTTCTCAACATCGTTCGAATGCAGTCGAGGTGGAAAAATATTCAGCCGAGAACGTTTTACGGTTTCTACAAATTTATTACCGCGGCTTTATTATCTTCCGTTTGACAAATTGCGTTGATAAGTGTACTTCGCAGCGTGGCTCGAACAATTCTCTTGATTCTTTGAAAGGTTTACGATACCTCCATCGCGCCTTGATTTTCTCGAACGTGTATAGATTTTTATATTTTACGTCCAGTAGTTTACGATCTGCGTTCTGCTGTTCTTATCATCTGGGTTATTCAGCAACCAATGTTTCTGGTAACAATGAAATGTTTCTTACGAGATTTTGTATATTATTGTTATTTGATAACTATCGTATTATTTCTCTCTTTTTTCGGTTATCTTTATGATATAGACTAAAAAGGAAACACCTAACAGATCTCACAAAGAACATAACCTAACAAACAAACACTCACCAAACTAAAGAAATAAATCAATCAAATTCGAAGATGGTATCCCACTGGGGGTAGCCATCCACATATTATATTATTATACCACTAAGCTATAATATTTTACTAAATGCCCTACTGGACAAATTGTAAAATGTAAATAAATAAATAAAAAAAAAAATCTGTATGATATGTAAACTTTGTGAAACTGTCCTGAAACAGCCAAGATTTTTATCACCAGGTTTACATCAATTAATTTATATATAGTATAATTTATATATATAGATCTGGCTCTCGTAATTGTATAAATATTGTATAGCAAATTATATATATATATAGATCCAGATAGTTTTTAATTTGAAAATTGCTGTTTACCCTGATCTAATTTAAATTTGTATAATTGCAAGGGGAAACATATCATTTCAGTTAATCATCAACGAAGGTTCGATTAACGATCTTCATTTCAAAATGTTATTTATTTCGAAATAACATTTATTAAGTAATAATCTAATGGTAAAGCGGGTTATATCTGAAATTCTGCAAAGGTTTTAATTAAAAAGATTATTGAATTCCTGTCGAGTAAGATCTGTCTCATTACGAGAGTATTTAATCTACCGAAATTTCAGATTCCTCAATGAGAGAGAGAGAAATTTCGATAGACATGTTCCACGAGTAAAAAGTTCTTGGAAAAAAAGGAGAAACATGTTCGTTTCGATTGAAACCGAGAACTGTTCGTCCTCGGAACTAGGACACGATTCTTCTGCTAATTTGAAAGCAGTTTATTAATTTATCAGCGGCTGAATTTTTTCGAAAAACCAGGCGATACTTCGTTCAAGCGAATTTTTTTAGAATTTTTCATTTTAATTACAGAGACGCAGGCGATTTCGGATAAAATGTTTTTGTTTAAAAGTTTCCCTTTGCCCACTTAACCCCCCGTTCACCACGTTCGTGAAATTCTGTGTTTCGCATTGTAAATTGCTTGCAGATAATTATCTTAGAATATTCGCGCGGTCGAACGTGTCCTGTAAATTAACGAGAAGAGAGACAGCGAGGGAAAAGGAAGAGAAATTTGAAGTGTATAGGCCGTGATAGTTGTATAGTTGCGGATGTAGATGTCACTGCTGGGATATTGCTGCTTTTCTACTAATTTAGATGCGTGGAAAGAAAAATGGAACCACGGGATTTGAACCTGGGTCCCGAACGTTCATAACCTAAGGCGCTAACCATTGCGCTGCCGTCGTCCGACACTAGTTGGTGTCGTCCGGTGGTATTTGCTGTCGAGTGTCGCCACAAATTAAATGATTTTTCATTAACCACCATTTTAAAACTTCAAATGATCAACATTTGTTTGGGCGATATGTTTTAATGGAAATGCTTCCAAAATGTGGGATATTTTGAATGTACAGAAATTCTTGACAAATGTTATTACCAAAGCGAGTTATATATTGAGTTGGCAACTAAGTGATTGCGAATTTTGGATTGGAACGAAGGAATCTACAGGAATTCTATGATATTTTCAAATCACCACCTTATTCCATTTCTCATAATCCCAAAATACCAAAATTGCAAAAAAGTCTCGCCTCTAGAAATTATGCAAAATTTTCTTTACATCTAATATATTTCAATCTTCTCTCACTTTGAAAATTCCCAAACTTCTATTAACGGAGTTATGCTAATGGAATTGCACAAAAACTTTTCACTGTCTCTCATTTTGCTTCTTTGGTATCTTGGGAAATTTTGAAATTTTCGCTATTGAATGGAAAGTATATTTAACAGTATATCTGCAGCTGATTTAGATTTACAAATTGTTGATTGCATTAAAAGGTAGCAAGTGTTGCTTTGTATATATGTAAGATCGTTAATCACGTGGTAATTCAG